TTTTTTTTTTTTTTTTTTAATCTAGTTGTCAGAAAAAATTGAACTATGCATCTTTGTCTGAACTGATGTTATTGTTTAAATCTTTACTTTAATTTGTCCTTAAACAGTCCTAAGCTTATGAATCAAAAATTACATTAAATTCTGTGTGCTGCCTGTTTTATACATGCTGTCTTATTGTTTTAATTGTATTCCATGCAGCTCTTGAAGAATTATGCTACTGTTCCAACACGGAAGGAAGAGATGGTTAAGGTAGCTGAACCCCTTGCCTTTGATTTTTGCCTGTTTCTCAATTATACCTTCTCTTTGGAAATTTTGTTCTGCATTTTGTAACTTTCTTGATTCTTTTTCCCTTGAATAGCATAACATAGAAGGCGTTATACTTACTTTGTCAATAATCCAGCTCCTATCTTTAATCCACTGTTCTATTCAGTCCCCATTTTATTCTCTTCATGGCCATACATTTGTTGTTTAGTATGATTCACTTCCCATCTGTTTGGTATTTTGACTCTCTGTTTTTTTAATTTGGAATTATCTGTATTAACTATGATGAGTTCAATGCAATCTCTAAAGTTGTGAAGTTTTGAAGAAAACACTGTTTTTCTTGATTAAATCAATTATTACTTCACAAACAATTGATCCGTGGCCACTCAAAGTATTTTGCATGATTGTTTGCAGGTGACACAAGGAGTGAGCCAACAAGAAAAGACACCAAAGGTAACACCTACCAAAATATGCATAGCAATTCGATCTTTTGATAACCCAGCTCCAGAAGACCTTATGGGCCTTCCACCTCACACACGTAAGATTGGATTGCCTGGATCACGAGTCTTATATACCGTGTTGCGATCACCTCATATTGATAAAAAGTCCAGAGAACAATTTGAAATGCGAATCAAGAAAAAATTTCTGGTCATAAAAACAACAAGGCATGAATTGTCCAAGAAATTCTTTTGGTTAAAACGCCAGCGTCTATTTGGAGCTCAATATGAAGTCAGGTTTTCTTGCAAGACCCGTTTGGACAAGACAAAACTTGAGAGTTTGCTTCAAAACAATCACTAGAAGAGGGGTTGAAGGTCTGCAGACAAGGAAGCTGATAAGATTGACTCATACCTCCTTGCCATCGGATGGCTGGTTAACGTTGTCTATTGTTGATATTCACGGGGCAAGAAATGATATGTGTTACCCGGTTTTGCTCTACTTACTAGGTGTTGTCTGTAAGGATTTGATTCTCGTAGTGGGATTGGAAAAAAAATTTCTGATTTTGTAGCTAAGGTAGAAGCAGCATTTGTTCTGCTCATATACCAATTAGATGTCGATTTTCAACTTTCAAATAAGTCAACTGAATTGAATTGCTTTCTTATTACCGTTCTTG